TCAGGTTTTTCATCTGATTAACACAATAGCTGGTTCTGAAAAACGTGTGGATCTTTTTTTCTTTGGAATTTTGGGATTATTATTATTTTTTTTACAATAACTCTTCTCTCTTTCCATTGTTTTAAATTGCCCATAGTTTAATTGTCTAAGTTTAACCTCTTTACTTGAGGTCAATAATTCATGATTTGTTTTACATACTACACCTAAAAATAGCCTGGTTGACTTCATTGCACTTATCAATCTTTTCTTTCCTTTCCTGAAGAGGCCTGATGGCTTAATGGCACTGGAGAAGGTCTGTATACTCTGGTTGTTCGAGCCTAGCATTGCATGATGGAGCGAGCTCCTGTCAGCTTCTGCCAACCTAGCAGTTCAAAAGCATCCCACATGAAAGTAGATAAATAGGTACCACCGGTGGGAAAATAATGCTGTTTAGTACAGTAGTATGAATCCAGCCAGTGCTGGACTTTCCCCAGTGTGACGCTAAGCAACATCAGTGGAGGGAGAAGCCCTGAATGATGCTGCAGAACACCGAGGAAACGTTCTGAGTGTGGAACTAGTCCGTCCCCTGTGATGCATTCTGGTTAGTGCACAAGCATGAACTGAACGGACTAGCAATTGACAGAAGCCAAACACCTATTTGTACTAACACTGCAATCTCCTGACTAATCTAACTTTGCCACAGGCTAAATAAATAAATAATTTTGTACAATATGTCTCAGCCCTATGCTGTGACAAATGTTTCTGTCAAGCCCTGAAAGCACAATTTCTTGAAAAGAACAGCAAGATTTTTGCCTTAAAAGATTTTCTGGAATGGAGAAATCCTGAGAAGTGGTTTACTATATTAGAATGCACTTCAAGAATTCTTTAAAAAAAAGAGAGAGAGAGGGGGGGGGAGGGAGGGAGGGGGAGGGAGGGAGAGGGAGAGAGAGAGAGAGAGAGAGAGAGAGAGAGAGAGAGAGAGAGAGAGAGAGAGAGAGAGAGAGAGAGATCACTGCCCCAGAATGTACAATTCTATTTTTATCCTATTTCTTGCTGGGTGTATATCAATGGATTGTCAAGAGCACAGGACTACAAACTGAGAATTAATAACATTCGAACTTCAAAGACTTCATGTTATTCCAACTATATTTTATTTTTCTCTCTTACAACTCTCTTCTTGATAGTACTGAATAGTCCGGCCTTCAGCTAATTTACCTGTTTTGCTATCAGTACTGCTGCTTAATAGAACAAGTCAGTACTTCAAAGGAGGTGACTTTCTTGTGGTAGACATTTTGGGGGGGGGGGCTTTCTCATTGGTGAAATTTTGATATTTACTTTCCTTAAAGGACTTCTTTGCTTTGAGTTGTTTATACATAAATTTCTACCTTTGTCCCTGCCTTTCGATGCAAAAATAATTTCTTAATAATGAAATTATTCCATGATTTCTTAGGTAACTTTGGATATATTAGTTATCAGAAGGGCTGTGATTACTCAACAATTATTCAGAAGAAGTGCTTTGGAGCCAGTACAAGATCAGTATTATTCAGAAAGCAGTCCATTTCTACCACCAACACCCTCGGGTTTCCTTGTAAGCCTTAGAGACAGAGGTGTTGTTTTAAGGAGACAATTCAAGTTAATGTGATTCTTAAAGCAAAGTCATTTTTGGGGTCACAAGAAAGCATTTAAAATGTTGAACTGCTTCTATGAATAGCAGGAAGATGCTGTACTTGTAGATACAAATCACTTTACAATGCCTTGGTAAGGCCACACTTGGAATACTGCATCCAGTTTTGGTCACCACGATGTAAAAAAGATGCTGAGACTCTAGAAAGAGTACAGAGAAGAGCAACAAAGATGATTAGGGGACTGGAGGCTAAAACATATAAGGAACGGTTGCTGGAATTGGGTATGTTTAGTTTAACGAAGAGAAGGACAAGAGGGGACATGATAGCAGTGTTCCAATATCTCAGGGACTGCCACAAAGAAGAGGGAATTAAGCTATTTTCCAAAGCACCTGAAGGCAGGACAAGAAGCAACGGGTGGAAACTAATCCAGGAGAGAAGCAACCTAGAACTAAGGAGAAACTTCCTGACAGTTAAAACAATTAACCAGTGGAACAACCTGCCTCCAGAAGCGGTGAATGCTCCAACACTGGAAGTTTTTAAGAAGAGACTGGACAGCCATTTGTCTGAAATGGTATAGGGTTTCCTGCCTGAGGAGGGGGTTGGACTAGATGACCTCCAAGATCCCTTCCAACTTTATCATCATCATCATCACCTTTTGAAAATCATTTCTGAAAATGACAGTCCATCACTAATACAATTACTCCTTTAGATTAAAAAGAGTTTTTCAATGCTAAGTATCAAGAACTTTCATTCATAGTACCCCACCATGATCATTTGCCCTGTATTATTAGCTTTATTTTTGTCCTTTTCCTGGGATCATCCACCCCATAGCCCCCAAAAAGATTCTAGCACTGGATTCTAAATAAGCTAAAATAATTTAAGGAATTCTTAGCTAAATTGAGAGAAGGGTATTTGTTATTTGTCAAATAATTTGCCGTTCTGTTAAATTTCTAGAGGTATAGCTGTGTTAGTTTTTGGCAGAAAAATGATAAAGAATAAAAAAAAATTAAAGACCAATTCCAATGCAACATCTGAATGAATTTAAGATAGTTAGAAATAAAAGAGAAGAATATAAAATTGTTTGACCAAGATTAAAATAAGACATGTTTCTACCAGGTCTGATAAACCTTTTCAGACTTTTTGCTGACATCAGAAGTGATAACTTGATTTATGGATTTGCACGTAGATAAGTGATAGTTATGGGAAGAAGATATATTTATTTATAACCTTATAGAGGGTAAAGAATTAAGTTTCCTTATACTTTATTGTGATGAAGATCAGAAATAATTTATATACTGTATCTATAAGTTCTACCTTCCCATCTCTCCTCATTTTGAATTTAGTTTGCATTTGCTTTTAATACTGTAATTAAAATCTTCAACAAAAATTATATTTAAAAAAGAAGAGACTGGTAAGAGGGGAAATTTAAAAAAACATAAATAAATTATAAATAAAACATCAGTAATAACAAGGTTCTTTTTTCTAGAAGGATTTTTTTGTTTTTGCTGTTGCAGCAATGAAGAGGCTTGTGGCTACCTGAAAACACCGTTCATCTGTTCTCATACCGGTAACCATTATTTGGAGAGAGAAGGGAGAGAAGAATAGTGAAAGGAAAAATGAGAGATGGAAATGTTCTTCTCTTAATAATCTGTATCATTTTCATTCCCTCTTCTATCCCGAGCTATTGATTTATTGATTATGTGCCAGCAAGTGGGTGTCGACTCTTAGCAACCAAATAGATTTTCTCAGTTACAATTTATCCTCAAGTCTTTCACGACTTCCAGTTGTGCAATCATCCCTGCTGTAATTTAGTCCATCCACTTGCCACCCCAAGTAATTCTGTGCCTAAGTGTCAGATCTGCCATCACACCACTCCAGCTTCGCATTGATGGCATCCTGCCATCAAAGGGGGGAGGGGGAGCAAAGCAAGAGAACACAGGGAAGGGGGCTGACAGGAATCAGAGGTGCCAATCGGAGACACAACCATTGAGAACTGAATACAAACATACACCAAAGAGGCGCCAAACCCAGAACTGTTACCAAAACAATGAATTTGAATACTATTGGACATGACTAGATGACCAGGGGGAGATCTGGGAGAAGGGAAATATACTGAATTTATGCAGGAACATTCAGATGTGTCTTAACCACTTAACCTTAGTAAAAGTATACCTTTTCTCAACAAATGGAGTTAGAGCCGAGGTGGCGTAGCAGTTAGAGTGCAGTACTGCAGGCCACTTTAGCTGACTGTGTTCAGCAGGTCAGCGGTTCAAATCTCACCGGCTCAAGGTTGACTCAGCCTTCCATCCTTCCGGGGTAGGTAAAATGAGGACCCAGATTGTTGGGGGCAATGAAAATATATATATACATTGCTTACTGGTGTACACCGCTTAGAGAGTGCTTGCACTTAAAGTGGTATATAAGTCTCATAAATAAATAAATAAATAAATAAATGATCTTTGTTTGCTAAGTGTCCAAGCTAGGACAGGGCTTACACTAAGATTACTTGTCCAAGGCTGCAAACAACTGACCAAAACAATCTTTGAACTGATTTTTTTGGGGGGGGGAGTTTAAAAAAAAAAGGAGGACATGTGTGAATCCATTGGAAGGGGTCATTTGATGTTAAGAGAGAAGAAGAAAACAATTCTATTCGTTTTGATCCATGGTGTGTGTTGTCTTACATAATGAATTGCTTTAGTAATCTATTTTATTCAACTCTTCAACTAATTGAAACAATAATGAGGCTTTACAAAGGACCACTTGTTGTAGATTTCTACAACATCCAAGTAAAAGGCTTTTCTTTACATAAAAAAGGTAGTGGTCTTTATCATTTGTAAAGTTCAGAAAAAAAATAAGCGAAGTAGAAATTAGATTATCCGGAACACCATCAGTTTCCCTGAGATATAAGAGTTTAATTTATTTTCTGTCTGATCTGGAAGATTTCCCTTTCAATATCTTTTTTTATTATTGTTAACAACTTGTCTATAAGCTTATGCCTGAGACACAGTTCACCGTAAAGTGAATTTCAGAAACTACTGCTAGAAGACATAGTAAAAATAGTTATCATGGGGGGCAAGCATCTGGTATTCAGTGTAATAACACAAAGAAGCAATGTTTGTACCCTGTAGGTTACTTTTGCACGGTAACTAAATGGGAAATACAACTGCAGGATTCCAACACTGTGTAAGTTCTGGAATGCCTTCCCATAAATCCATGCACATCCTTAAAAAAGTGGAAGCTAATAGTTTTTCAAACAAAAAAAACAAAAAACTCTCAAAGCAGAGTAAAATTCCCAAGCAGTTTTAAAATGCATTGGAACAAAACTGCTGAAATAATATCCTAAATATTTAAAGAATGCATTTAAAAGTTAATAGCTTCCTGACAGAAATATTGTACCTGAGCCCTGGTGTGAACTTCCCCAAGGAGTCCAGAATATTGCTGTTCCAAGTCGTTCTTCTGCTTTAACCAACAGCTTTCTTGAGCTTTCATCTGTTCTGCAAATTTCTTCAAAGTGTCTTCTTGGGTCTGCTGAATCTCCTTCATTGTATCTGACTTATTTTTACAAACATATTCAAGGTGTGATACCTGCGTGATTGGCATTTAAAGAAAAAAAAATCCTTCACCCTTCTCAAGGCATATACACAGTTCTATTTTAAAGTAGCACATTAATAATACATTCAGGATGCTACAACTAATCCCATAACCCACAAGGAATTAAGTACCACTTCTCAGCAATGGAAACATACCAGTCAAATTTCCATAGCCTGTGACCTGGATCCTTTACTATCTATACTTGAGTACCCTTTTTAACACTGAAAGTTTTAGGACTAAGGTTCTGTACCAGCAACGTGAATCTGAAAATGAGCACAGTGATTGGATTTTCCCAATACAATATGCAATTCCTGATCTATTTCTGGGTGAGTTATTGGTTTTGCTGTTGGTAACTGCTGCTGCAATTTTTAAAAAAGCCTCAGGTTGAAAAAAAAACCACCACAATTAATAATATAATTATAATTATAATAATAGAACAGAAACTATAGGAAGGATCTAAAGTTATCCCAAGGGTAATACATTTGTATAGGAAAGCAGCCCAGTTGATGAAGGGTTGTGGCTGGGTTGTTGTTTGTCTTAAATATCACATTTTTGTAGATAATAACATTAGATGCTATAGCAGCAGCAACAACAAAGAGTCTTCATGGGGAAAGGACTGGCGGTCAGCTAAACTATACAAATAGTTTGTACTGGGAACAGAAGAAACTTTTCATAACAAAATGGAGCTAATGATTAAATGAGCTAATGCCAATTTTTAAAGGGTACCAAAAATAATTTTCATATGGATAATTCAGAGGCCTTCAAAACAAAGACCTAGACCTTTTAAGCAGGCAAAACGATACCATATTATTTTGGCATGCTTTGCTGGTCTAATAGAAGCTCTTGGTTTCATCTTGCCTTTGCACCTCTAATTTTATTTCCATGGTTAAAAACTGAATTGAATTCTACTAATCTAACAGAACTAAAAAGCAGACTAAAACTATACTTGCTCAAAGTTAGGCAATGATACAAATCTAGTTAAACCCTCCTGTTCTGGAAGCATGTTCTAGCCTGCTGGGGCATTTGCCCAGAAGCTCTTATCATCAGGTTTCTTCTATGTTAAGACATTGGTAGAATTTCTGATTGCAGCCTCTGTTATCGTTTTGCATTAACCAGTTCTTAAACTTTAAAAAATAAAGTTCCTTAGAGTTGTACTTCATTTCCTATGGCTTGCGTTAAACCTGAATGTGAGATGAATAGCTCAGCTCATATGAAATGCTTTTCTTTCTATCCTTGGAGAGACTAATCTAAGTGCGGACCAACCTTTTGAATTCTTCCAGGTCACAGAAAACTATGGTAATAGGTGAACAAGTCAGGCATGCAGATGGACAGAAGTGTTAAAATATAATCTGTACAATTATTTGTACATAATAAAATGCTTCTTTTAAAAAAATCTGATCTCATCTTACTATTACCTTCTGCTAACAAGTCAATTCATGTCAACATATGCATGAACTTCATTGTTAAGCTTTCTTAAATGTTATCTTCTTTAAACTCTTGATGTATACATTTGCAATTGCTATATATGTTTACAAATCCAAAAGGATCAAACAGCATCTGGTATTTCATGGAAACTTTTTTTTTCTTCCTCAAATAATTCCTCTTTCTCAACAGCAAATATTTTAAAGAGGATGTTCCTTGAATAAGTGCGTTTTGTTTCTGTTTTATGCTGAGATAAAGAGTTGGTTTATTAGTGTAAATGACTCAGTCCTTTGAATAGCTTCATCAGTAAGATTAATTTATTTTCTTTTAATTAGGTCCCTGTGGCTAACACTGGCTAATAGTATTAGCAAGTCCTGAACAGAAGCTGGAGCTTAGAGATTTCATACAGACTTCAGTCACATTTACATGCCCACAGCAATGGCATCAAACCGAGCTGTAGACAAGCCATAATTAACGGTACTGAATTATTAACATCCAAATTCTTTTTGAAATAAGATGAATGTCAGTCCTTTTTAACGATATTGTGATGTGGACAAATGTCACTGAATTTAATAGAGGTGTCTGGTGCCTGAGGACTGTACCTTCTCATTAGCCTTGTTGAGGTCTAAGATCAGGGTATCAACATTTTCTTGCAAGACTGTGCAAAGCTCTGACCAGGAGAATTTATCCAGGATGCCTTCTGATTTCTTTATAAGAACGCAGCCTGCTACCAAGTGCTGGTATAAAGTATGGAGGAAAGTTAGCTTCTCCTGCAAAATGCAATTCAATTTTGGGGGGGCGGGGGGGGAAGGAAAGGAAAAGAAGGGGAGAGGAAGAGTCAATGGCAAATATTTATACATTGAAATATTTAACATAAATAAAAATAAATAAATGTTCTAAAGTGATGACCTATGCTCAAATAATTAATCAAAATAGATAGTGGCCCATTATATTTACACTCGGGATGATCCTGCAAACATTTTATTTAAGCAGTGAGGGGTTTCCTCTTGTTTAGTAAAGTTTAGAATGTATTGCTTACTAAAAAATATGGAGAATCAGACCTTGTAGTACTTTTATTGTTGTATTTATTAATAAAATGCTGGTAGCAATTTTTTTAACGAATAAAAAACATTATACTAACAGATTGCACAGGGAATAAACTAAGTGATAAACCACAGAGCAGCTCTTGAAAAAACAACTGCTTGTTCAGCTCTACTTCTCCCCTGTTTCACACCCAGGGTTTTTCTGCTACACACATACACACAAACTGAATAATTTTGATATAAGCAGGACTACGTAAAATACTTTTGACTTCATGACACAGAATAGAATTGCTATTTTCTGAGGGTGTCTCATGACCCCCTGCACTATTTAATTTATTCTTATTGATAACTTTATTAAATACTTTGAGCCAGGGATAATTAATGTAATTATGTAGCAAAATTATAGTATATCATTGCATCTTTTTAAAAACTACATGCATCCAACTCTTTAAATAAAGAACAAATATGTTTGGAGAATAAAATAGTACTTTTAATATCTATACTGCTGACTTTGGACACTGAAACATTTTTCATTAATATAAATGGGAAGAAAAAGAGTCCCATTGTGCATCATTTTGCTCAATGCAAAGGGCTTTAAAACTTTTTTGCAAATCCCAAACCAAAATCTGAGCCTGTGATCCAAATCCCACTATCTTCAATGAAAAGTTTTCCACTCCTTTTAGCGTGCTTTAGACACAGTCCAACCCAAGCCATTTCCAAACAAACTTTACAAGAGCATTAAAAGTAGAATTACTGTTGCGATTCTTCTAACCATATTTTGGTGTTTAAATCGCTCAGAAGAAAACACCAACAACACATGGCGAAATAGTAACAAAAGCATTTCCATTCAGTCTTTCACTTCTCCTTGTTAATTTAATCTGTCGCCATTCTGTCCTTTTTGCTTGGGCTGTGATAAACCAAGCATAGTAATCATCCATTTGGCCTGGAAAAGGAATCCAAAGGCCTAGAATCAATTCTCACATGTTGAACCCAACCACAATACTGTAGACATGCTGACTTTACAATATTGTCAGGCTTCTAGTTTCCTCTACTTTAATCACTATCTGATGAGCAGAACAATTCCAGCTGATTCATATGGACACAATTTAAATCCCAGACTGAAACAAGGGTGGAAATAATGTTTCCTTTTAGTCGCTTGGCATTCTTTCTCGGATTCGTTAGAATAATGAGCTCAATATGCAGCACAATCGAAATAAAGAGAGTGAGAGAGAATACATTTAATGTACCTAGCATAGAAAAGCTGTGAGCACAAAAGAAAATGAAACTCTAAACACAAGCAAACAATGTATTTTTAAAATAGGATAAACATCAGGGTGGAAAGCATGTTTCAAAATAACACTTCATGAAACAATTACTGTACACAATACTATAATCAGCTGCTATCCCAAGAATAGGCAAGCTAAGTTGACTTTGTTGATGGGTGAGTAAAATGATCTAGGTCCTTCTCATCTCTTGGATATGCCATTTGAAACAGTTAATAGGAATTGGTGCCAAGGGATTAAACAGCTAATCTATTCCAAATGCAGACATATTTTAAATGTATATATTTGCATTGAGATAAACATTAACTTTCAAAAATTCCTTAGGCATCGTTCTCTTAACAATATTTACATTTCTCATTTCAAGAGAATGATGATATTCTTTAAATGTAAAGAATCAGATAAGTTGAGCAGTTAATATTTTTAAATCCTAGTAACAATAACAATTTGTTACATGCATATGCTACCCAATTCCCAGCAACTTTGGGTAGTTTACACATTGATTAAAACCCTTAAAACAATAATAAGAAACAAACAAGGGTAAAAATGGCAGGAAAACAGAAAAACAAGCCAGGTTACTCGTAAGTGGAATAATAAAATAAAAACATAATGCCAGAAATAAAAGTTCAGAAAAACATTGGAAAGCAATCGTTTAGATTTCTTATTGTGGTGGCATAAATCTGTATCTACAAAACAAATGATCTGATATATATAAATATGAAAGGTGAAAGATTAAATAATATTTCTGACAGATATCTTGTTTCTGGTAATACCTCTGTATCCTTCTCATAAGCCTGTGTGAGTTTCTGAATTTCATTTTTATATTCTGTACAACACGCTTTCTCTTTCTCCAAGCAATGCAATACGTTTTGTAGTTCCATTTTTAATGTAGCTATTAAGGATTCTCTGTCTGCACACTTAGTTTGCAGATTATTTAACTCCTTCTTGGTACCAGTGAGACTGTCATGTGTTACCTAAAAATAGGAAAGGAAAGATAAAGGCTTTCATGCAATAAAGCACAACCTTCTTTATCTGATAACTCTTTTCAGATATACATGTCTGAAAGCTCTACAAACAAGACTATTTACTCCAATAGTTAACTACAATAACCAAACCACAGAAGTTAAAATTAAATGTAAATTAAACAAAGCCACTATTGTGATTCCAGTTGGAACTGATGTTTTACTTTTACGTTTGTTGCCCTGGCATTTTTCAAAACCATCATCACACATTAATACAGTGGTTCTCAGCCTATGGGTCGGGACCCCATTTGGGGTCGAACGACCATTTCACGGGGGTCACCAAACAACGCAGTCCGCCATTTTTTTCCCCTTTTCCTTAGCTGTGCTACTCCCTTTTATTCTATTGGCTTTTGAAAGCCAATAGAATAGACTCTCTTCAATAGAGTCTAATTCTATTGGCTTTCAAAAGCCAATAGGAATTGTCCAGGCTGTCTCTGCCCTGCTGAGCCCGCCAAAAGTCCCATTCTGCAAACGGTGCTGCACCAGTTGAGTAGTCCTCGACTTACGACCGGTTGAGTAGTCCTCGACTTACGACCGGTGGGGAGTCGCGGCATTAAAAAGGTTGAGAACCACTGCATTAATAGTCTTAAATCCTTTATTCTGAAGATAACCTGCTGAAGCTAATAAAATCCCTTTGATTAGAACTTTTCAAGGTTACAACTACAATTGAGACAAAACTCATTAGAAAAATATACATTTAGCTTTAAGTTAACAGGGGTGTTCAAGACAGAGATACCTGAAGTTCCTGAGTTTGAGATCTTAGCTGGTTCTGGGAAGCCTCAAGTTCTTTTGCCATCTTCTCAGAAAGAACTGTTATTTTCTCCAGCTAGCCCCCCCCCCAAAAAAATGTAGTAAACAATGCATCAGATTCAAGAGAAATGAAATTTCAACATAACTGCCTACAGACTAAAGCTGAAATTTCATGCAGACTGATTTTCCTGGGAGTAAAATGGCCAATGTTACAGCAATGGGCAGCTTGACACTAAATTAAAGATGTTGTTGCTTTTATGGTGATGTCCCTGTCTGCTGTATATTAGTATCTATAGCTATCTTATGTATATACTTTCCATCTACAAGGATTGGATTCCCCCAAGTAATTTATTAATTTAATGCAGCAGTTGCATGCACATTTACTTGCAAGTTTCATTAAGTTCAATAGGAGCCTACAGATTTAGGCATTTAGCCTCACAGTCTCAGCCTGACTTGGCTTAAGTGGTAAAACCACTAAGTTGCTCAAACTGAACAAATCAGTAGAAAAAGGTGATCATGATAGGTGTATTTTTTAAATGGCCGTGGAAAGTTTATAAGCACAATAAACGTAGACTCCCCCCCCCCAGTATGGCTCTGGTTATCTCATAATTTAATTGCTCCCAAAAAAAGTTTAGCTATTAATTACCCTGCAAAGAAAACAGAACACCAGAAGACAGGAGTGCTATCAACAAGGCAAAGAAAGGGCACAGAGCTACCCCATCTGCCTATCAGGAGGGAGATGCTGGGGTCTCTGCCTCCATATGACAACTTCAGGGTCAGGCCCATTCAGTCCTACTGGGAAGTCTTGTGGCAGGTCATCTGTTGGCCCTGGCCTGCTTGCAATTTATTTTCCTGACAGTTCATTCTTCTTGCTGACAGAATATTCTTTCTGCTTTTTTTTTTTTTTTTAAAACAGTCACCCCTTCGGTCTTTTCCCACTGCTATCTCTGGCATCAGTTCACAACAAAACATGCTCCTCAGCCAAAGCCTGCTGAGCTGGCTTTTCAGTTGTGTTGAAGATCAGGTGATGCTCATCCTCCCAAATAACAATTCACAGCTGAAATTAAGGGCCTCTCGGCCTTTAAACACGTGGGATGTTAACAAAAGAAGCTAGAGGCAAGGGTGGTAGTATACCAAGACGTGTAACTGCTTCCATTGTGACTTATTTGGTGGCTCTCAGATGGCAGAAAACACTTGACTGCGAAAGAAAACTTAGCTGTTGTTTTTCAATATTACAATGGGTGAAACGCATTCTAAAGTAAGAATTCTGTAAAAAATTTTTATATTTAAGTCAAAATTGCAAGTTTGCTAAAAAAAAAAATCTAATCTTTTTCATGTATTTAAGTTGCACAAACCTCACAGGTTTTATAGCTCTATCAATAATTCCATTAAAATGAAAAACTCAACTGAACACTCTGAGCAGGTAATGAGACGTGTGGGGCTGTGAGAAGTCTTATAAAGTTCAATTAGGTTTACTCTTGAGTAGAGAATACATTACAATCCAAACTGACAAAAATTCAAGAACACATGCTTATATACATTGTGGGGGAACAAGGATCTATTTAAGCACTTAATTTTAAACACTAAAAAGAAAGTTATAACCAGGTTTAACTCTTTCTAGTTTGCAGATGTTAAGAAAAATGCTCCAGGAACATATTTCTTAAAATGTGTACATTTTACATTAAGAGAACAAGAACACAAATTCTAACACTCCTCCAATGCTAAAGTCTCTACATTTATTCACCTGCTATCAATCTGGACTGGATATAAACACATGTAGTATACTGCTTGAACATAGCTTTATATTTTGCAACGTACTGTATGTTAAATCTCAAATGGATAATAAAAATCAGTCACGCACAGAGCTTAACTTAAAATAATTGGGCATCGCAAATTTCAACACACACAAAAAAACCAATCACACAAATACCTACACAGAGCTGAACACGTTCTTAAGTTAAAGTGAATCATGACCACGGGGCAAGCTTAAAGGAAGAACTGTGACAAAAAATTATTTCTTCTTCTTCTCTGCAAAGCTGTCAACTCAACATTCCCAGTGTTTTGACCTCTGTAACAAGCAAGGAATCTCTAGCATTGTGGGCTGAAGGCTACATACGTGGAGCTGAGCAGTGCAACTGTTACCTCATTAGATGCCTCTTCCTGCTTGTTCTGGTAATCTGTCAAGGTACACCTCAAAGTCTCAAAGACAAGAGTGAAGCTGGGAGGTTTATCTTTGTCCTTGTGAATGCCTGAAGAAAAATGCAGAATCAAAACAAAGCCCTTAGAGCTGAACAGAGAAAAGAAAACTTCTCCAAGAGCAACAGAGATATTTAAATCAGTTGGGCTCCAGTGACAATACAGAATGTTGAACGACCCCTGTGTTTTCTCCAAGGCACACTGGTGGATCTGTTCTTTAATATCAAATAAAGCTGAAGAAGAATTTTTGCACTGTGGCTACAGTTCACCACATGAAAAAATATGAACTCTGGCTTATTTCCCTACACATCTTGAGGCCTACCTCCAATCTTATTTAAAGGTATCTAATGATTGCAAGTCTGGGTGTCGTTCACAAAAGATCATCCTCCAAAGGAAACAAACATTTGCTTTCAAGAGCAGAGCCTTCGTGCCTTCAATGATTCATATTCTGCCATGCATTTTGGAAAGAAACTTTCTTTCTGTGCCAAGGACTGCAGGGCTTCCTATTTTGCCTGGGTGCAAGTGAAAGCACTTGAAACCTCAAAATATTATTTCTTCTCATACCCTGTACAGAAAAAAAAAATGAAAAATAAAACCCAAATGATTATCTAACCCAATTTAGCTGATGGCCACATTTGTCAATAGTGACATCTCCTAATTCCTCTTTTTCCCCAAAACAGTCTTTTGACTGTTCATTAATTAAGTAGTCATGGCAGACCTTAATCAAGAGTTTAAATCATGGTTCATCTGCCAAGATGTTATCTTTAACAAAATATAAAATTAATAGTTCAGACAATGGCCACTTCATTAGAAGCACAATATCTCAGAATTCAGACTACAATAACTGACTTCTTTTTGTTATCATTATTATGATTATTATTACTCTGTTGTTTTGCATGTGCATTTGTTTCTGCACCAGTGACAAATTCCTTATGTATCTAATCACAGTTGGCCAAATAAAGTAATCTATTCTATTGTGTTCTGCTCTGCTCTGCTCTATCCTGAAAGCTGGCACTCAAAATGAAATCGTAAATAGCATACACAGGTATCGGATGAATGGATACTATTCATTTTCAAAAACAATTTTCTGAAGTTACTGGAAGCAGCATGATCTGGATATACTTTTAGCCACTCTGCTTTAATCACAGTTTTCAAAAAGCATAAGTGCAAATGATTGTTAAATATAACAAAGTCTACATGATGGCTAAACAGATGTTTCCAGAATCTTTAATTCTACAACAATATTCCAAAACTAATCCACTGTTAGCTTCTATAAAAATTTATATTTACGAAAGGTATCTAAAAGAATATGCAAATAACTTTCTTTTTTTTATTGAACATTTTTATAAATTTTTACAAAAAAGACAAAAAGACGAAAAAACAAAAAAGAAATACAACAATTCAAAAACAAAAAATACAGAATACACAAAAAAACTAAACATAACATCCCCTTCCCCACCCCCACCCCAAAACACCCCCCTTTCCCCCCCCTGAGCTTCCCAGAGCAGAATATAGGCTTAATTAAAAAGGAATTAAAAATATATATATATAAAAAGGAAAAGAAAAAAAAAATTAAAACTAAGAAATATATATATATAAAAATAAAAATTTATAAAAAGGCAACATGATATTTTTTTATATCCAATTTAAATTGTATAAATTCTATCCATTTATCCCAAACAGCAAGAAATTTCTCTTGCGTTTGATCCTTTAAAAAAGCCGAAATCTTTGCCATTTCCGCCAGATAAGACACTTTGGAAAACCATTCCTGCAGTGTAGGCAAGGATTCCTTCTTCCAATATTGTCCTACTAACAGCCTTGCGGCTGTAATCAAATTTAACATCAATATAGCCTCCTTTGTATCACAATCAGTAGTTATACCCAACAAAAATAACTGCGGAGTAAATTTTACCCTCCTTCTAAAAATTCTCTGGATATTCCACCATATCTTAATCCAAAATGCTTTTATCTCTTTACACGACCACCAAATATGATAATAAGTGGCATCCAAACAATCACATCTCCAACATTTGGGCTGTAGGTCAGGGTACATGAAAGACATTTTTTGTGGGTCAAGGTGCCATCTATAAAACATTTTGTAAAAATTCTCCCTTAAATCAAATAATTTTCTGAAGATGATAGGAGACCACTGTGATTTTTGGAGGCCATCAGTTCTGCATCTCACATTTCAAAACCATTCTCCTACAAAACAAGGAATCTAAAAATTTTGAGAAAGATAGAGATAGATAGATAGATAGATAGATAGATAGATAGATAGATAGATAGATAGATAGATAGATAGATAGAACAATTCTTTATTCTAAAGACTAAAGACTCTACAAGCCAAGGACACATCACTTTATTCACATTGCTTTTCTTTAAAAATAAAACTCTTAAATTGGTTAATTTTATTTTGAAGGAAAAGCAACTCCAAGGAGCTTCAATCCAAAATGTGCTCTGTATCTACACTGAACCTCTCCTGTTTCTCATCCACTCATGGTTGTCACTGCAATCAAAAATTTCTGCTTGCCATAGCCACAAATTATTTTTGATAAAAACCATGACAGTCAGATACCTTCACAACTTGTGGCAGAGAATATTCTAATGCATTTTCCCCTGAATGTCTCCAATCTCTTTGCCGCGAAAGTTGAAATACAAAAAGTAAAATGAAATAAAGCGATTGAAACGAGAGAACAATAAAAAGTGTTTAACTCAGGAATGTTTTGATTTTATTTATTTGATTTCTATCCTGTATTACCACATGGGCATCGCTGAACCTGACCAGATCATGAAGGAATACAGCTGGCACAGATATCTGTGCAAAGAAATACAAACTGTTCTTTATTACAGTCATCAAATTCAGTGGCAGTTAAGGATGGAGAAGCACTGCAAACCTGCACCTTTAGGGGAAGTCCAAAACAACTCAAAACCAGATGAATTTCAGTGTTGTACTTATCAACAACACCTTTAGATTGATGAGAAGTAATTTCGGCTTATTCTCCTTTATCTAACCATTATGAAACTTAAACAACTTTCAATAGTTCTCCAAAATTCCAGATATTTTTCTAGAGGGGTTTCTTACAGATGTTGAGCAACACTGGACAACATGATAGAACCCAGAAGGAGGCCATAAGCAAAAGACCTTGATACAGAACAATTGTCCCGCAGCCCTAGTTTCTGAATGTGGCCCAATGAAAGCAATAGAACCAGGATAAAACTCTGCTTCCAAGAGCAGCCTAACAGGAACCATGGAATGATCTATCAGGGACAATAGAGCAATTCCTCCACAGAATACTTTCAACAAATTTCTGAGCTGCAATCTCTCCCGCTCATTAGTATCATATATATTTTCCAAAAATTTATAGACAGGGGTTTAGGATGTATGTTTGTGCATGGATTATAATTTGGATCTGTGTTGGTGTGGGAAAGCCTTCCGTACACATTGCCAGCAAATCAGTAGCAGAGCAACAACTGGTCTTTTGATTAACCTCTGCTGCAAAAAAAAGTAAATGTACTAAGAAACTTTAAATAAATATATGAAGCGGAAGTATTTTACGAGAAAGATATTGGATAGGGGGGGATAACCTGAAATAAGTCACTTGATATTAAAATGTAATCATATTTTATCTGGGATGAGAGGCTTTCTGGGCTCCTCAGAGGGAGTAATAAACTTAATAGGTAAGATGTTAAAAGAAAATATATACCGGATGTAAAAAAAGGAACTGCATGTCCTATATATCTGTTTAGAACAGTGGTTTTCAATCTGTGGGTCGGGACCCCATTTGGGGTCGAATGACCATTTCACGGGGGTCTCCAAACAACGCAGTCCGCCATTTTTTTCCCCTTTTCCTTAGCTGTGCTACTCCCTTTTATTCTATTGGCTTTTGAAAGCCAATAGAATAGACTCTCTTGAATAGAGTCTAATTCTATTGGCTTTCAAAAGCCAATAGGAATTGTCCAGGCTGTCTCTGCCCTGCTGAGCCCGCCAAAAGTCCCATTCTGCAAACGGTGCTGCACCAGTTGAGTAGTCCTCAACTTACGACCGGTTGAGTAGTCCTCAACTTACGACCGGTTGGAGGTCGCGGCATTAAAAATGTTGAGAACCACTGGTTTAGAAGCAGTCTGGTAGCTCCTCATCCGCCTAACCAATTTTATTAAAAGGCATAAGCTTTCATGAACTGCCGCTCACTTCATCAGAAGCACAGAACGGCTAAAACTCTGTGGCTATCAGCTCACTTCTCCCACTGCGTGTTTCTTTCTACGTTTAAATTTTTAAAAATTCTCAACTCATAAGCAAAGATAGCATAAGTACGAATTCCATTCCAGTCCTGTGATTCCTATGTTCTAGTAAGGCAGTTTTCCTTTACTCTGTATTTCCCATGGTTAACCATTAGGGTGGTGACCATTCTAAAGTCTCCTTAGAGCAGGGGTCCCCAATCCCGGGTCCGTGGATCAGTACCAGGCCGCAACATGCCAGCAACCGGTCCGCACAAACAAGCAAAGCCCTATCTACAGGATGCAGGCAGCACACAAAACCACGCCCCCTCTGGTCCACGGAAAAACCTCTCTCCACAGAACCGGTCCCTGGTGCCCAAAATTTGGGGACCTCTGCCTTAGAGAACAAATCTATAGAACTGTCTATGACACAGCCTTGCATTTTTGCCTCTCCCCAGTGCTATGCGACAGATGGTTTACATGCCTAAAGCAGGGATGGGCAAATACGGCAACTTTCCAACCAATAGACATCATGGCTGGCTCAGGAATTCTGCGAGTTGAAGTCCACAGGTCATAAAGTTGCCATAGTTGCCCACCCCTGTCCTAAAGCAAAACTAAAGTAAAACACAATAGTTGCCATACTATTTGTCTTTGATATTACCCTTAGAAGACTATGAGACCAAACACTCAGCCCCATAAACATGCTATTTATTTAATTTATGATTACACCAGAAGTCAGGAATAATGGCTGGCTCAGGAATTCCAGGAACTGAAGTCCACCATTCATAAAAGGGCTGTTGTTCCTCACTTGCTTTACACAAAAACCGGGTCACCGTCCTTTATTATATTGGCCATAATCATTCATTTGATCTCTCTTATTTCAATGTGCTAAAAACAAGACATGACCCTGGTCAAAAAACTTAAGGAAACAACCAAATATCGGCCTATTCTTCTGTTCAGCCTCAAGACATGTCCTGCCTATGGGTCTGCTTGATGTAGTGGCATATTACAAAAATGTTAAAGTCTATAGAAAGGAGACAAAGAAGTAATCATCTCAAAATATAAGATGTGGTGTATTTCCCACTACCACCCTTTTCCCCAAGACAACAAAGACAACTCTAACATCAAAACTAACACAAAACTAATACTTATATACAAAAGCATATGTTTCATGTGAATAATTATTTTCAACTTGCATTGCCTTGGCTCTTTCTTTCCAGGCAGCTCAATCTCCTTTGCCAAAACCTCTGTACTGACCAAGTTGTTCCAAAATGCTCAGTGCAGAAACTTATTCAATGCTTTTGAAAAGGAAGAAGTGCACTCCCAGCCAATGTCAATAGTTTCAGTTCCCCGGTTTCTCTGAGCTTTGTCCTGTGTGTCTCCCTATCTCCCCAGATGCAGAACAGATTTTGGTTCCAAACCTTTGGCTGAGTTGGACAAGGACCATGAAAAATTCATGGTAATTACATCAATACTCGTTTACAGTGAAAGCTGAAATGCAAGAGGGAATGGCGAGTAAATCCCTGCTGTGTGAAAGAAGAAAACAAATCTCAGCTATGTAGTAGGAAAGTCCCGGCTTCCAAACGGTAATTAATACAAACTGGGGCTCTATCACCACGGAACTGAGACGGAACCAGGGCAGAAATCTTCCAGTGCCACTTCTGTCATTGTAAAATATGTATTATCAGGATCCTTTCTGTCTAGAATTACTTCATGTGGGTGGCCGACTGGTAGCCTAGTCTTGAAAAATAATATGAGCGATAGGACAGATTTATGCAGAAAGAGAGGAGTAGGGGAAGAATTCAGCAAAGTATGGTTGTTTTTCACTTTTTGGAGAAAAGAGGAAGGGTGGGCTATGCTTAAGACTGCTTGATACAGTTTTCAGGAGATTATTTTAATGCATGTCGTCTGCTTCGGCAAAATGCAAGTGTTTGCCCAAAGTAAAAGAGAGTTAAACTCTCCTTTGTGAGTTTGGTTACTCTTCTGGCTACCAGCAGCAGACCCACTGGAAAGGAAGGCAAATGTGTGTAAAGATGGAATTACAGTGGCTCAACAACAAATCTCAAAAGAATGAGGGAAAAAGACCTTTCATCTTTGAAAGTTCTTTTAGCATTTTCCTCCATTTGGAATTAACATTACTGATGAAGCAGGGCAAACAATGAGGGGGAGGGGGGGAAAGCCACTTCTGTACTTGGGTTGGGGTGGAATTTGCCTTGGCATCACTTTAAAGCAGTGTTTCTCAACCTTGACAATTTTAAGGCATGTGGACTTCAACTCCCAGAATTCCACAGCCAGCAACGCTGGCTGTGGAATTCTAGGAGTTGAAGTCCACATCCTTAAAATTGTCAAGGTTGAGAAACACTGCTTTAAACTAACACTGTAAAGAGTCATGTGTTAAACTCTGTGTCCTACACGACTTTTTCTGAACACACAACCTTTAAGTAGCTGAAGGTTGCCTGTGAATTTGGCTCAGTTCAATCAAAAACATCTGTTCCCCTGGTAAGTCTGCTGTCAGGACGTTTTTTCTCATTTGGCTTTCCGCTGCACCCTTTCCCAACCAATCGCGCACAACTCAACGTTTGTAAATCAAGTTTGGGCTGACAACAGCAGGTCTGCATTCAGTCACCCCATCTCAGCCAGTGAGGCCACTCAACTGCTGTGTGAGAGCTGCTCTTAGCATGTCACCGAATCGAAGCATGTTGAGAAGAGAGAATGTTAGAAGCATCTGCAGAAATATCTGCAGAATATTTAGTGGTGTTGGAACACTGACAGATGCATCTGTCATTTCATAGCTTCAACTAACCTGCTGTCCACTGGCTTGACACAGTAAAGCAGTCCAGAAGTGACTCCAGCTCTCTCACATTGTTTTCACATGTCTCTGCTAGGAAGGCCTGACGTTTCCTGGTCTTCATTTGGCAGGAGTGAGAAGAAAGCAAAAAAGATACATATTAAAGGCATAGAAGAGTCATTCATAACCACCAGTGCTAATGGACAAAAAACAAAAACAAAAAACAAATCGGAGGAATTCCCCATTACCAAAATAACAAAATGAAAGAAAAAAGTTGAAAATATTTCAAGGAGGTCGTGCCATCATGATTGCTTGTTCAGGTGAGTTTCCAAGTAAAGGGTGGGTTTTGCACCATTTTAACGTTCTGCTGCTAGAGCAAAGCCCAAGTAACCCATTAGGAACCAATTAAAACATTACCCACGAACCATTCATATTTTTCTCCTCTATTGCAAAATGCATCCTGGCTGGGAAATATGGCAATCCCTAAATTTGGCATGGCACCAAGGTGCCCCCTGAAGAAGTCTGATAAATTGGTCCTCTGCTGAGACACCTTGTAGATGTATTTAGCTTTGGTCTTCCAAAATAGCTTCTTTTCTGTAATCTCATCTATAGGAAGTTACAAACGGTAAAACTAGCCTCTACCTTTATCACTAGGAAAGTACCTTTCTTCTGTATGTGATTTACTGTCTAAATCGGTACATCTTAATCTTGGGAACTTTTAAGATGTGTGCACTTCATTTCCTAGCCTGGCTGCCTGGAGGTGGAAGTCCACACATTTTAAGGTTCCTAAGGTTGAGAAGCACTTCGCCCCAGCCAACTCATCGTGGCCATCTCACCACGGCCATCTTGCCATGGTCAACTCACTGCAGCCAAGGATAACTCGCTGCAGGAGAATTCCATGCAGGATAACTGAATGGATGCTATCTCCTCTGTTTCTTAGACATTATTTCTACTGACAAAATGGATATAATGTCAAAGAAACAGTGGCGAATAACATCTCATTGAGTTATCCTATGTGTAATTGTCCCACGGCAAGGTGGCCACAGCGGGTTGTCTCACAGTGAGTTGGCCATGGTGAGATGGCCGAATGGGAATAGCCATAGCAAGATGGCAGTAGCGAGTTGGCCGCAGTGAGATGGCCGCAGCAAGTTGGCCGCAGTGAGATGACCGCAGCAAGTTGGCCATGGTGATTTGTCCTAGACCAGGGGTCTTCAAACTTGGCCCTTCTATGACTTGCGGACTTCAATTCCCAGAATTCCTCAGCCAGCATGCTGAGGACCCCTGTCCTAGACCCTCTAGATGACAGACAGCAAAGATGAAGTATAATCCTTGACCAGGCAAAGCAAAAAGTCTCTCTAAAGAGGTAGTTGGCTTTCATTCACATTCTGTGAGATTAGGGATACGTATTCAGAAAAAGAACAAATCAAGAAAGAAGTCAGAGGAACCAAAAGATCTTGCATACATCAAAACAAACAGAAGATTTTTCTTCAGCCAGCATCTCTGCAATGAACACTGTGGAATCCAAGATCTTCTTCAAGGACATAGCAAGTAAACTGATTGTATTGATTTTATTCATAATTCTTTGTATGTGACTGTTTCCTTCCCTTGTTTTCCCTTATGTTCCCTTTTCATATCTAAAGATTGAGCTTCATTACCTTTAGTATAAAATTCCTTATTTTTTTCTTTCTACTTCCCATTTCAGTTACCCCTTGTGTTTCATGAGCAGCACATGATTAGTTAGGTTCTATAATTTAGGGTTTGGGGTAGGAAGAGCCAAAATATTTTCCTTTATTTTCTTAGAAAAGGGCTGAGAAAATGTTTTTGTGTAGAAAGTCAAAGAGCTAACCAGCATCTAATTGCGTATTATCAGTTACTGATGATTCCTCACCTCAGAGCAATAGATGATCTCCCCCAGTGGCTTTATGTAGACATTAAACAGGAATGGAGAGACAATAAGGCATCCCACATAGTAAAGGCTGATGATAGGATCTCTCATTCCTGATCAATACCAGCTGGTATCAGTCCCTTAGGAGGGAAGAGAACCAACGTAATTCTGTGTAGCCTGTTCCCAACCCTCACAACTGATCTAGAAGGATATCATTGTCAGTGGCACTGAAAGCTGCCAACAGTTCAAGTAAAGTCAGGATGGACACATTACCCCCATCCTGCTCCCTCCAGAGGCCATCAAACAGTGCAACCAATGCCGTTTTTGTCCCATGGCCGGGCCTGAATCCTGACTGAAAGGACTTCAGTCATGTTTCATTCAGGGTCTGCTGAATCTGCTGTGTGATCACCTTCTCAACAACCTTCCCTTAAGAAGGGAGGTTGGGCATTGGAAGAAAATTCTTGAATACGGTGAGATATATTGGTAGCCTCTTATGGAGGCAATAAACCAATGCCTCCTTAAGAGGCGGAGGAACAATTCACTCTCTCAAGGATGAACTGACTACTGCTAGAACCCAACCACACATCACCGGCCCACCCCTGGAAGTCTTAGTTAGTCAAGAGGTTGTCATGGTTCTCAAAAGGCAGGTGGCTGAGCTCAGTCATGAGAAGAACCTTGTACATTTTCTCTTAAGTCTTAAATATCTTGTGGCCAGAGCAAACAGAAAGTGTGTTAAGGATCTCAGACAGACACCTTTCTAATTCACATGGGCATAAGGAGAAAGAAATTCAAAACAATCAATTTTTAAGATGATTCTCAATAGAACTAGTTTTAGCTTCCCTGTGGCCTGTCTGGTGCAGCTTAATACTTGGCCAGACAGTGCCACATGAGACTGTTTCTCAAAACTTTTGGTTTCTTGCTCTTGTGTCAGAAGCCCTGAGGCGCTTCAGGGTGGAAAGGATAACCGAAGACATCACCATTGCCCTGGGGACGCCCAGTTGCAGGCTGCTTTCATGTCCCCAGCAGGAGCTGGAGTGAAGGACAAGAGCTCAACCCCACCCCACAGCAGTTCTGGAGTCTCAAACACAGGCTTACTAACTTCCTGCCCATTCAAGTCACCATCCTTCTACTTAATGATGAGATAAAACTTGGACAATATCATTAAGATGGTCTTCCGCATTTTGTTATAGCGCAACTGAATTATACCTAACGTTACAGTTTAATAACTCTTATTTGAACTAACCATGTGGAATGATCTGTAAAGAAGGATACATTTTATTTGCAGGTTAGTCTTACAGAAATTTTCAGGAAAGTCGCCAGAAAGGATCATTTGTCACTGATATTAGTAGAGTTTGGTATTCTATATTATGTACTTTCCTTTCCCTAGATTGCATTTTAATTATTTTTATTCTTTGACTGGAAATAATTAAAAAAAATGGATAAAAATATTTACAAGTAGTTTGTTTCCCTTGGGGGGGAAAAAGAAATAAATAGATCCCTTATCAACTTTTCTTCTAAACTGAACAGAGAAAAAAGTTTCAATTTGTGTCAACTTTCTAAAACCTCTATACAGGGGAACTCCCCTTTTCTTTTCTCTTCTCTAGTGACCCGTAATCCAACTTTGGGTAACAGCCATCTTAACTTTTGAGTTATCAGCAGCACTTCCCCTAACAACAAGTCAGCCTGAAGATTTAAGGATTCAGGGTTTTTATGGTGAGAAACATCTTTTTCCTGTTAACTGAGCTCTGTTATGAGCCAACAGTGGATCATGACTGACTTGAATGTATGTGGATCTCTTCTGTGTTCTCCACCATTCTGCTTAAATATTTTATAAATTTGCTCTACCATTTCAATTTTAATTATATGTTCTGTATATCTACTAATATATTATTCATATACATTTCAGCGTTTGATCCCCAGTAGCATTTACATGGTCTTCCCTGTGTGATGGTTAGTACTATACATCACAAAGAATTTCCACTGCCGATGGAATTCTCATGCCGGGATTTTTTCTTTCTAAAACATCAGTATTTCAAAAAGAAGTATAAGGATACATGCAATTTTTACAGGGTATAAATAGGCTAGAATGCTGAGCTACACACAGTTCTGTCAACCCTACTTTGCCATCCCCACAGAAAAAGCATATTGCCCACAGAACAGGATAAAAAGCAATGTCACACCAATAAAGTAAATATTTTCATGTATGTACATGCATTTGAAGCAGAAGATAGTCAAACTATGCACTAGCAAAATCTCTTCCAGCACAAAAGATTTAGGCAAGCTGTTCAAAGGCACAGAGCAGTTTATCTTCTCACGCAGATGTTTTATTTTTAAACTACCATATACTAGTATATTTATGTTGATGTAACCTTTCTGTATTTACATGTTACGTTCACGTTTGCCTTTTGTAAGTCAGGTTTGGCCACTTGATTTTTCCAAATTCTCTCTCTCTTTCCCCCCACCCTAGGATATACATACGCATTCAGATTTCCCAGCAATTTTGTTACATTCTCGTTCCAGCCAATTGAGGGTGCAATGACTTAACAGTTAAGAAACTGACCTTGTCAGCTGGAAGGCTAACAGCCTGGGTTTGAGACCCGAGCACCGCACAATGAGGCGAGTTCCCGTCTTTGCCCCAGCTCCTGCCCCCCTAGCAGTTCAAAAGCATGCAAATGTGAGTAGATAAATAGGTACCACTTCTGTGGGAAGGTAACAGCCTTCTGTGTTTCACCGCATGCTCTGCGCTGTGGCGTAATATCATTCTGTCCACATTACCATGGACATGTCTTTGGACAACACTGTCTCCCTCAGCTAAGAAACGGAGTGCCACTCCCTAGAGTCAAATATTACTGGATAGGGGAAACCGTTACTTTTGCCCAGCCAACTACATGCATTCATTTCTCTCTCAAGCCCCCCCTGATTGCAAGAAGCTTCCCAAATCTCCTTCCCATTTGAGAGCAACTTAAAATAACGTATGTGTAGAAGCAGGCTAAGAAAAATAGTTCTTCATTATCTGAGCTTCCTGACAACATGAATGAGAAACTCAGAATGAGCTGCCTACGCTTGGATTTCCTAGGCAGTGTTCTGGCCTCTTGTCCAACATATATTGATCCTCTGGAAAAAAAGGTATATGAGCAAAAGATTCCTGACAGCAAGGTGCAAGAGGAATACACAGATGCTAGTGCCTGACTTTGGTATAATTTGCAGCTAATTGAGCTTTCTGTTTCTCTACT